AAATTTTCTTCAAAGACAAGAAACTTTTCTTTTATGAAATATAAAAGAAAAGTTCAAGATTCCATAAATTATAAAGATATATATTCTAACTTTTCAGAAAATTGCAAGAAACATGAGAATAAGATACATATAGAAAGAAAAGTCGTCTAAATGGTGAAAAAGAGAACACGATGCATTTTCCAACAATAGATAATAGCAAAATTTTCAATTTTCTTGTGGTTGTCATATTATTCTGGTGATTTATATTCATATATAACTAGCTCTATATGGTGTGTGAATTTGTTATATACATTATCTATTAGGGAAAAAAATGGTTGATATTGGCATTTGAGGAATTGTATAAATCAATGTTGTCCCCTTTTAAGTGAAAATATGGACCACTCTCCCAATTATAAAACACCAAACTTCGCGTATAGTGACATGTTACCTTACTGTTACTACCTCATGATTTACCAACGAATCAACTGAATTCAGTAACTTTAATCGGAATTATATATATTTAAAATTTAAAACTTAAAAACTCAATATTATGAATTTGAAATTTAAAACTTAAAAACTCAATATTATGAATTTGACTTCGACAGACTATATGTGAAATAATAACATAATTAATATAATTTTTTCCAGAAAAAATAGTGTACGCAGACTTTATCCTTATCTTACGCTGATAGATAAAATGTGTGGTGAATAGTTTAAAATTCAGAGCTTTTTGGAGGCTTTCTTTGACAGCTTCCATTCTCTTTCTATTCTTCTATTTTATCCCTTCTCTCACATGTTTCACTTCAAACTTCCATAAAAAAAGATTCCACCCTGCTTAATTCCATTTTATTTATTTTTAAACAAAACCCTCTCTTGTAATTTGTGAATGTAATTCAAAATTAGAGATAATGTAAAGTCAAGTATACCCTCTATCCTGCAGGGCTATTACAAAAATCCCAGGAGGGTTAAAAATTATTTGAACCCGTCTTTATAATATGAGTCATCCTCGGTAATAATATTTATTATAATAATGAAGATTCTTTTCAAAAAAATTGGACATTCATATTATGTTATTTATATATTATATTTATATTTGCATCTTGTTATAATAATAGAAAAGAATAGTGGAGCAAACGACATTGTTATAGAGAAATTTGATTGTAAATACAATATCATCATATCATATGTGCATATTTTAGTAAATCGTGGTTAAGAATTTCATATTTTCACTTCATTATAACGGTAAGATGATGTAATAGTATATCGTAAATATTCGGTGTAGATAAGTTTCTATCATTAAAAAAAAAAAAATCAAAAAATTACGGTATGTAACTTTACTACCCTCTATCCAGCAGGGTTATTACAAAAATCCCAGGAGTGTGAAAAATTATTTGAACCCGTCTTTATAATATGAGTCATCCTCGATAATAATATTTCATTATAATAATCAAGATTTTTTTAAAAAAAAATGGACATTCATATTATGTTATTTATATATTATATCTATATTTGCATCTTGTTATAATAATAATAGAAAAGAATAGTGGAACAAATGACATTGCTATAGAGAAATTTGATTGTAAATACAGTATCATCATATCATATGTGCATATTTTAGTAAATCGTGGTTAAGAATTGCATATTTTCACTTCATTAAAACGGTAAGATGATGTAATAGTATATCGTAAATATTCAGTGTAGATAAGTTTCTATCATTAAACTTTTTTTTCTGAAAAATTACGGTATGTAACTTTACTATCCTCTATCCAGCAGGATTATTACAAAAATCCCAGGAGTGTGAAAAATTATTTGAACCCGTCTTTATAATATGAATCATCCTCGATAATAATATTTTATTATAATAATTAATTAAGATTTTTTTTTTTATAAAATGGACATTCATATTATGTTATTTATATATTATATCTATATTTGCATCTTGTTTTAATAATAAAAAGGAATATTGAAACAAGCAACAAGTATTATAGAGAAATTTGATTATAAATACATTTTATATGTGCATATTTTACTAAATCATGATTAAGAATTGCATATTTTCACTTCATTAAAATGGTAAGATAATGTCATATATTGTAAATATTCGGTGTAGATAAGTTTTTATCATTTAATCTTTTTTTTATCGAAAAATTACGCTATGTAAAATTATAGATAAGTTAAATTTCTTAATATTTATGTATACATATTATATGTTAAATTCCTTTGGGATATCTGTGCGTGTGCTTTCTTATATTGCCTATTTCAAATTCATATCGTAAAAGTTGACACTTTGCTCTAGTTTGACCGTTGATTTTGAAGTTGAAATTTGTAAATTTTGAGTTGTTATAGTTTGAGATTATATTGTATTTTACTTAACGTAACTTTTGTTAGTGAAAATAAAATTTCTTCCAAAATTGGTCAAAAACTTGAAAATGTTTTAAAGACAAATTTTCAAAATCTGATCCAAAATCTTTGATCAACGTTAGTTTCACAACCCTGCTCATCCCTATTAAAGTGGACCGTTTATAACAAACAAGTGGAAATAACACACCCCACAGAATCATATTCTAACTATATAAAAAACAAATTTTCTTGATGAAGTTATCTTCAAAAATGAATCGAACTTTTCTAAAATATTCCAGAGGAAGAAAATGAGTTATATTTCCATTTTTAGTGAATTAGTTTATAGTTGAAACTTCAGTCTTACCAAATACCACATGATCAATAACAGAAAAATTCCTTATTGTTATTTTGCTTTGTTTACAAGGGAGAATAAAGATGAAAGGTAAAGCATTTAAAAGTTAACTACATTAAGACAATAATAATTTGTTTAAATAACTGTCTGCCTACTTTAGGCAAAACCACCATTACCATGTGGAAATTATAACAATTTACTTAAAAAGGGCAGTGTGATGCACAATAAAAATTCCGTGTTAATAGGGTTCAGGGAAGGACCGCGGTATAAAGAGTGTGATGTATATTGTTTATCCTAATGCAGATATTAATAATTATTTCCACAACTCAATCATTGACCTATAGGTCACATAGAGACACTTTTCCTATTGTTCTAACTAAAAAACATACGATTATATTAAAAATAAAAATAAAAATGAGGATCGTAAAATTTAATCATCGACTTAACTTGGCAAGAACAAACGAAAAAAAATAACATTCCCATTGATGTGCACAATAGATACTAAAGCTAGAGTATGGATCAATAAAGAATCACAATTTTCAGTTATCGCGTTCAGATATTTATCTTTACTACACATTGAATAAAGAATAAAATAAGTTTTTTTATTTAACAGAATCCACAAATTACATAATAATTACTGTTATAAAATGATTATCTTTGCGATATTATTAAATTCTTTCGATATCCTATTTCATTTTATAGTTAGTACGTTTTATGAACCGTTACAATTTTTATTTTATTTTTTTTCTAGGTAGATATATATTTACGACATTTATATGGTATCTTTATGTTTTTAGTCGTTGAACATTGCAACTAGACCTATATATATCAGAGAAAACAAATTTTGAGTTAAAATTTTGATTTGGAAAAAGAGGACCCAAAATATGATTACATTACAAGTAGTTTGAGAACATCAAAATCAAATGGATTTGAAAGATATCATATGATTACATATTAATAATTACTATTGGTAAATTAGTGTACAATGTATCATGATGATTAATGCGTGATTTTCGTGGCTCAAAATCTTTAATTTGGCGGTTTCAACAAATCATTTCTACTAATTATATTTCTATAGTTAGAAAAAAAGAGATTATCATTGTATTTTCAAAATATTGTGTATTAAAAAGTAGGAACGTTTTAAAATTAATGTATCATTAAATGGATCAAATTATTTTTCTGCTATATTTGGTCAACTGTACTGTTCAAATTCAGTAAAGAGTCTTGATCGGGTATAAAATACGATCTTTTTTTATGTATATTAAATATTACAATAATATTTAGTATAGTTCCACAAATGAGTAGAATATAAAGTGTATCAAATTTTGTAAAATAAAAATATTATTTCGAAACATTCTCAACTCGATTATTTCGCGATGGATAAAACCAAAACATAAAAATCATACATAGTAACTCTGGGTTTTTTCAAAAACCCAATTTTCAAGTACATTCATGAATATGGGATAGCGTTTTGTACATTTGACAATTGACATCATTGAAATAGAAGAAAAAAAAATGCTTCCATTTCAAGAGTGTTTTATTTATTTTTTTAAATGTAATGATACCTTTACTTAAAAATCAACAAGAATTTTTCTTTTTAAACTTATAGCTCAATTATCATGAAAACAAAACCATACAAAATCTATTGGGATTTATGAAAATCTTAATTTTATATTAAAATCTTTTATTCGCAAGTAAAAAAGAAATAATCGTCTACAATAACAACAAAATCAATGTAATCTCATGAGTGAGGTACAAAAGAGAAGAAAGATAGAATATAAGTAAATCTTATTATAGTATTATTCAACAAGTCAAACAATTAAAAAAAAGGATAAAAAGTACAAATTTATTTATTTTTTCAAACCAAAAATATAAAATAAAAATAACCCGACCAAAGAAACAATTTGACCGTATGACAAATAACAGAATATTTTGATTTATACACAAAAGTAGGACCCTATAAAAAGTTGCTACTTTTTATCAAATCTTTCTCAATATCACTACTCATTTATTAATTTTGTTCTTTCTCTTCATCTACCTTTATGAAATATAATTATATACAGACACAAAAATGTATCCCATTTATGTAATTACCTCTCCCTCACAAGGGTATTACCGTCATTTCACACCTCTCCCCCCCTTGACCGTCTTCATCACTCTCTCCTCTGTCATTTTTATATCGCGCCATGTCCCTTCCATTTCCATTTTCCTTCTCAGAACTCACTCAAAAAGAGAAAGAAAAAAAATTAGTATAAATTTTTACTAAAAATGCATTTTTATTTACATTTATAATATAGTTTCAAGATTGAACAGTGGAGATTGAGAACAGAGAAGGTGAATTTTTGTTTTGTTTTTTGATTTGAGCTTTGTCGTCGTTAATGGCGACTGGTTGGGTGAAATCATGGCAATGTAAGTCAAGAGCTTTAGACGACGTCGTTAACAATCACCACCATCAATATCACATCTTACCCAACTCAGCTAGTTGCAAAAATGGAGTCAAAAGCCTCAAAGATGTAGTGGAAAACACCAAAAATGGAAAACCCAGAAAGAAAAAACCGTCGCGGCAGCCGGAGCAGCAGTTAACGAAACGACCCGGACCCGGTTCGAGAGGAGGATCCGAACCCGGTTTGAATAGGGAGAAATCTCGAGCGAGTACCTCCACGAGACTATCACGTGCGGCGACGACGGATTCGTTCTTCCCGGCGTTAACTGAGTTACCGGAAGGTCACCCATCGCGAAATGTAGTCGGGATAATTTTTCAGACGAGTTGGTCTCCGAAGGTTTTTTCGGGTCGGGTTGAAATGGTTTTCAAAGTTCAGAATCTGCCCCGGACTGTGACCCGGTTTGAGGAGTATAGAGAGGTTGTGAAGTCTAGAGCCGGAAACGGCGGTGAATCGGCGGCGGAAAAGGGTGGCGAGGACCATGCACGTTGCGTTGCGGATGGGAATGAGGTGATGAGGTTTTACTGCCTGGGACCCACTAACGGCGGCGCGTACGAAACTGGAAACAGCGCGTGGACGTTTTCAGCGGGGAAAGGAGCGGCGCTGTGTACGTATTCCGGCAGCGGCGCGGCCCATGAGAATGCCGGCGGAGGGAGAGGGAGACGGGCTATGCTGGTTTGTCGGGTCATTGCGGGTCGGGTCTGTAAACAACTCGGATTCGATTCGTTGATTGAAGGCCGAGTTGGATATGACTCCGTTAGTGGAGATAACGGCGAGTTATTAGTATTTGATTCACGTGCCGTTTTACCATGTTTTCTTATTATCTATAAATTGTAAAAAAAAAAAATTAAAAAAAGTATTGGCTTTAAAAAATCTCCAATTTTTATTTCATTTTTCTGGTTTTCCACTAGTAGTTATATCTTTTTTATTTATATTTTTGGGCTTTGTAATTATGCAATATTGGGTATAAATACTTTCTTTGATCTTTTATTGTGCATGTCATCATATATTTCACACTTCGGAATTTCATTTTTGTACTAAACCTGAATTTATTGTCACAGAGGTGTACTTTCCATTCAAATTTGAAAAAACTTTTGCATGTAGTATCAAGTACTTAATATGCTCAATACGTCATAAGATTTCAGGCTCGGTGTATAGTAAAAGGAGATGTCATATTTTATCTGATTATACTCTTGATAGTACCTGCAAAAGTTTTTTCAATATTTGAGTCGAAAATGTCTAATAGAAATTCTTCATATGTGTGTACTAAGCCAATTTATATATTTAAACATGTGCTTAATCATAATGATTAGGACTTGGGTTAAATGGGGTCTAGTGTTAATTACACATGATTCCTTCCAAAATATTGGGTATAGAAAAGACAGAACTAAAATCCACACTCAGAGCTGTCGTTCAATTTCAACTAACACCATATAAACTTTTAAATTCCAAAATTAATTTTTTTAATAAAAAGGCAAATTGTAACAAAGTTTATGGCTTCTATAACTAATAAAAAAAGAGATGAAAGCAAGTGGTTATGATGTCAAGTAATTTTCAAGGAAAAAAGTTTGCTTGTTGATCAAAGTTGTTAATATTAGGAAATTGATTTGATTGCTTCTAAGGATGTTTGTTTGGTGGCCTTAATGAAAACAATGTTCAAATTGCTATTAATTAGACATTTCAACTACAAATCGATATGATTAAGTAAATTTTCTTATAAAATTTCGTTCTTTAGGGATGGATTTTTTAAGACCTATTTTATTGCAGTAATATTTCATTTTTTTAATGATTAACGATCAAAGAAATATATATATATATATATATATATATATATATATATATGTACGTGATATAATGTGAGGAGATTAAATGATAGTAAAAAATTACTTAAAAGACAAATATTACTTAAAAAATTTCAATGCATGTGTTTTCCATTGAAATTTCTTTTTTTAAGGCATCAAATGTGAATTCTTTCTAACTTGGCTTTGCTCATATATAATATATGATTCTTTGAGTCAATTACTAATAATATATATGATACTTGGAGTTAGTTGTCAACAAAGTAGAGAAGCAAAATATAAGATGTTATCTTCTCTTTTTTCCAACATGATGTTACCTAAATTTATTACATATTGTTGAATACCAAAATTGAGGTCAAAGGGTAGTTCAGTTGGTTAAGGCATTCCGTAATCCATATTTTACAGTGACGGATTCAAGATTTTCATTAACTGAATTTAAAATATAAAAAGCACATACATGAAAAAGTCAGGGGACGTCCAACTTCACCTATACATATAAAATAATTCTAATCATACATTAAAAAACGTAATTTTCCGCCGAATGAGACCCCGTTAATCTTACCTAGCTTCACCCATGATCCTTCACATGTGGTTGAAGGACAGAATCTCATTCCCCTTCCTTCTACAAGTAAAGTTAACGGAGGATATTATGTACACAAATCTTACCCCTACAAATTCTCTGAACTAACGACATAATATATATATATATATATATATATATATATATATATATATATATATATATGTGTGTGTGTGTGTGTTGCGCCAGTTACGCCTTGATCATAACGGAGGCATGAAATGAAAGCTACAACTTAACTTAAGAATGGTCGTTTTCTCTCCTTCCTACTTTGACCAGTTTCCCAGTCTTTGTTTAATTTTCAAAATTTAAGAAAATAATAAAATAAATGTAGGCGGCATAAATTCTTAATTTGACTAATGTAATTGTTTAGTTGATAGTTTGCTCATTAAATTGCCTTATTATTTTAAAAAGTTTTTAAATTATATATATACCGTAGGCCGTAGCTATCAAATCATTCAAAAAAACATCTATATGTAAACTCTATTTACAGTGTGAAATTTGTAATCTTAAATAGTTACGTGCTACAATACCTCAAAATGACATGATGGTGTAAGACAGTTGTCGCATAATTTAAACATTTTGCAAGTGTTAAAATATGCACTTGTCTTCACTTGACAAAAGCATGCAACACAACTATTGGGGAACAAAATGGGTTCTAGGATTACCTAATCACAAAAACTTGCTTTTGTACCATTTTTTATTTGATTTCAAGATTCATCAATTGCCAAAATTCCAATTTCTCGTTTGATTATAAATTTTGGGAGTAGATTTTTCAAGAAAATAAACTAGAAAACATTATTTGTCAATGAAATTTGATTAATTTTTGAAAATCTATTCACCAGACCGGTTTGTGGGTGAATTTTCACTTCAACTCGCAAAGCTTTAAATTTTTTTCCTAGTAAAAAGCATGTCAACACAAGTACACAACTTCAAATTCTAAAAACTACTAGTTTTCAAAAGCTTTATTTTTTCAGAGTTTCAACTAAATCTAGCTTATGCATTTGCTTAAAGAGAACCAAATTGAAGAGAGAACAGAAAAAGGAATTTCAACAACAATTCTCAAATATAAACCATAGGCTCTACTTTTGTGCTTCCATTACTATCTAATAATTTCAATATTGAACGGAGGATCTATCGAAAGCCATCTCTCTGCGTCTAAAGGGGGTATGGTATGTGTACATTGTACCCTCCCCAAACCCCACTTTGTGCGATTACACGGGATATGTTGTTGAAACCAGAGGCTCTATTTCATAGAATAAGATGATAAATTTCTAATGAACAATCCGTTTTGCATAATTTTTCTTCACTTAAGCTCATGAATGAGTTCTCCACATAACCAAAAGGCCTTTTTTCAAAATTCACTACACATAATCAAGAATGAAAAGATAATAACCCAGACAAGTTGGCCAATAATAGCGCCCTCTAATGTACAGTTTGTTATGACAATAAACATAATTCGTCTGCAGATACTACCGATACTCCACCAGCACGTACAATGGCTTGCCATTCAACTTCTCCTTACCCTGCAACAACAACAAAGTTATCTTAGAGAAGAACACAAGGCAGAAATATGCTTCTTTAGCTTTCCAGGTATAAGAAAATGAGAGGACGAATCATTGCATCAGGAGGACGCTACCATAACTTTGGTTTTCCATGTGTAAAAAGATAGGTTTTGGTACTAAAGTTTAACTATTCACCAACTTGCTAAGGAATGTGGAAAGACGGGCAGTTAGTTCACGAGTAATTCTGATCAAGTCTTTGCCAAGATCTTTCCTTAAAAGCATTTTTGGCAAGAAAATTTATGTTTTAATTACATAGTCCTGAATATTTCACATTGTAACCTGATGACCAAGCAAGTTAACCATACATTGCGGATCAGAAGAAGAGCAGTAAGAGCGTAAGATGCACCTTTAATTCTGGTATTTCAATCACACATGCACATTCAACCACTTCTGCACCAGCACGCTCTGCGAAAGAACAATTTTATTCAACAAATTGCAAAAAAAAATGCAAGAAATAGGGCATTATTGGATGTGATGATATGAATTTCGGAGACTACTTATCATGAGAAGACAAACACATTATATGACATTGAACCATCAAAAGTGCGCTTGTGGTTTGGGGTTAGTAGACACATACCTATACCACAGGTTGTGCCAGAACAGCTAGTATTAAAATTTAAAGAGAAAGCGGAGCTGGGGATGTCATAGTGTAGTTATACAGAAGCTTGGGAGAAATTATTATATTATATAATGTCACATCCTAACATCAAAATCACATATTCCTCAATGCAAATCCTAACTGAAAATACAATCCTAAATTTGATATACAAAGTATTAAAACCAATGCCAAATTTCATAGGAATTTAAACTTATATTTCTACAACAGTTTTGAGACATGCTATGAGATATACCATCAACTACTTGCATACTCTATGCCTCTCTTAAGGAATACAGAACAAAAACTGACCACAAAGTTAACCTAGTGTCCTCCTAGCTATGATGCCATTAATTGATGCAAATTCCAGACCATAGTATAGGATGTTACTGTCACCTTACCCCACCCCGGAATTAAGCAACTGAAGCTCCTTTTAGATCCTATTGAAAATTGCCTAGCAATATCTTTGCTCTAGTGCTACAGCATTATTCAATTGCGTATTCCGCAGCATATGTACATGTTGTTCTATTGTGCACATTCATTCGAATTAGTTGAAAGCCATTGGAAGTTTCCTGGACTAGAGTTCTATCCACATGAAGAGAATCATAAAAATGTTTACCAAGTAAATTCATAGCTGCAGAAACAGTGCCACCAGTAGCAATCAGATCATCAACCACCAAAGCTCGCTCTCCAGCTTCTACTGCTTCAATATGCATCTCAAGACAATCACTTCCATATTCCAAGTCATACTCTTGTTTGAAAACTTTACCTGCAGTCATTTAAAGTCACAGTAACATTGAGAAAGTGAGATGATAATGAGTATTTAGTGGTGTCATAGAATGCACTCATACTAAACGAACATGATGAGCTCACAGTTTTCAAAAGCATTCCTCAGTATATATTTATATATATATATGAGAGAGAGAAAGAGGAACAATGGATTATCTACTTCAAGTTAAAATGTGTACTATGTCAAAATTGGAATTCTTCCTCCTTTTACCCCGTAGATGGGACATCATATGAATCAAACATCAGGATTTAAATACTTTCATAGCAGAATTCCAATTCTCAGAAATGTGTCGAGTAACATCGTTTACAGGGAAGGAAAATCAGATATCAATGTGTTTCCAGAAACTGGTCCTTCTGAGGAGCCATAGTAGACAAAAGGTCAACCTTTATAGTTTCACCCTAATGGACTGATCAATGTGACTAACACACTTGGCCATCCAACCCAACCAACTCATTTAACTAAAAAGGCGCATGTGACAAAGAGATGTCATTATTCCAAGAAGGTTGTTGCACGGATGAAAATATAC